AAGCAGGTTTTCATCTGCCTTCTTCCTCGCCGGTGTTTATTGTTTGCCTGTCGTACATTTGCTGATACACTGTTTTACGCATGTTTTTTGTAAAGGCTGTTTCTTTTTTCTTTTTGTTATCTGTCTTCGCTTCTTCGAAGGACTCCCAGCATAACTGAGCCTCCTGTTTCACGTTGTCCTTTCCCGGCAGCTTGAACTGGTTTTAACTAGGTCGCAATACGAGAATCTCGCGAGATCCGGAAGTCTAGAGAGCTCAATTATGAAAATGGAGGTGGTTGTTGGTAAACCTCCGCTTAAGCGGAGGTTTTCTTTTTATTGTATTTTCCAAAAATGTTACAGAGCGATGGCGAGTGCCGGGAATGATAGATTAAAGGTTGGTAAATCGCGGAAAAGTAGTGTTAACCTCGGGATAAATCAGGATAAATCAATTTTGGCGCGAAAATCCTCTTTTGTGTCCTTTTAAGTATGAATTTCAATGTTTTTCTTCATTCATTTATGTAGATCAGTGTCTCTGCTCTTCAGGTGAATTATTTTAACAACTTTCGTAATGTTTTCTAATGTGTTTAAGCCCATGATGATATGATAGGAGTCATGGTCATTTCAACAGTGTACAATATAATAAAAAACCAGCAAGTTAATGACAAATAGATTTACTTGAATAGCAGAGACATTGATGAAAGTAACCTAATAACTGAATAAATTTAGGAAAAAAACCAAAGACTTCCATGTATAATTCAAGGGTATACTGCACAAGTACCATTTTTTAAAATTAGCTCATTTATCATAAAAAATTTATAAGAAATCAATTACTTCCCTTTTTTAAAACATGAACACCACTGAAAATTTTTTTAAAAAATGGAGAAAAACATAAATGTGGTTAATTGTATCAGAATTTTTTTTCAGTCCAGAGACTTCTTTTCAATTTACAACCAAATGACAGATAATTGCTTCAGTCGTTGTGTGTCTAACTTTAACTACAATCAGTTGACTAAAGATGAGGTAAGTACAGATAACAGTCAGTGAAGTTGTAAGTATGCCAGAGAAACCTCTCAGCAGTAAAAGGTTGAAGCAGGTTTATAATACATGCACCCAGATAGCATACATAACAATAAAATAAAAATAATATCCACTGTGTGAATTGGTAAGATTCTCAATCCATTCCTTGATATGAATTATTTCTTAGAATGGATCATGGTCAATATACATTTTTTCTTTGAAAGACAGAACATAATTGTTAGAAGGATAAAGTTTTTTTTTTGAGTGGTGACTACCTAATATTTTATTCATTGAGCACAATTAACTTTGAATCATACAGTTGTGGTTCAGTGACAGCATGTCACACTATGTATTCTTAAATTTTGTTAAATGTTTGATTCTATTATTTCAGGCAAGCTGTATCCACAGCTGTTGTGATAAACTTGTAAAAATGAACCACAGAGGCATGGCTATTTTCATGGATGTGCAGACTAAAAAACAGCAAGCCATGATGGAGCAAGTGGCCCAAATGGAACAGCAGCAACAGAATCAAAATCAGACAGTGCTGCCATCTATTGGTTCAGAAACTAAACAAAGCACATGAAGTTAAAGTTTCATTATCATACACTCAGAGATGAACATGCATGTAGGATTGTGGGTTTTTTTCAAAACCAAGAACAACAAATAATATGAAATAAATAAAAATTATTGTATAGTTTTAAATGTGTTGGTGATGAGTTATGTAGACAATATTTTAGTGGAATGCGGAATAGTTTTAAGTCATAGAGATTGAGGACAGTGTGAATGAGTTTTATAATTCTTTAGAAAAAGAAAAGCCTGGAGACGAGCTTTTTTCCCATCGGGAGAGACTATACTTCTCAATAACGAGCCGGTGCAACTGCCATGATAAAAATGTAAATAACAGGAGCGAATCCAGAGCTATTTACTGACAGTCTTCCAAATTATCTTTGTTGATTCATCCTCCAATTTTGACCGTCTTCCAACAGAAAAAAATAGATACCGTCAATGTAAACTTGAAAATCTGACCGTCTTCCGGAAGACCCAGAAGACGGCCTAAATCCGCCCCTGAATAAAACTGAGACCCCCTATTTCAATGGAGTTCTTTTATACATTTGTGCACAACATAAGGTTTGTTTTTCATGAAATAGCTGTTAATTCACCATTTTCCATTTAAAAACATGCAAATATAAGTTGGCATTAAAATGTTACTCGAAACCACGTTGATTAATGCTTGATTTTACAAACCCTGATAAAAATGTGATTCTTTTATCAAAACTACAACGGCACAATCAAAACGGCATACTCAGTAGTCCACTGCATGCTCGATACACTTCGCTTTAATAAAGAAGCAAACCGTGTTTTGGTCATAGAAAGTACCATAAACCCAAAAATCCTGTAAGGGGCGTAAAAGTTGTGTACTAACGCTAAACTCTTATCTGAATTCACTGAATTCTTGTCTGAAACTCTTGTCTCACAGCACTCGTGTCTTGTGCCTCAGCTATTTACCGTCATATCTTACAAATTTTGACACCAAAGTTCAGCAGAAGCCCACACCCGTTTCTATTCGAGTTATACTTTCATGACCATAGTTCATAATTATTTTTCATATTACAAATGTTTTTACATCATAAGCAACTCAAGGCTTAAGGTGCTTTTAGCTGGTGTACATGTAATATGTATATAATTATATTTTAACATTGGAAATTTTGCCTCATCAAAATTTTATGGCGTCAGTTTGCAGTATAAACACAGTGACATGTCCTGACAGCCACTGGGGATGTTTTTGGATCCCAGCCAGTTTTCTTAAGTGACACACTTATTAAAGATAGCCCACTTAATGTTGTCAACCAGTGCAATAATACCGGTGATAAGGGGAAACAAAGTCTGAACTCTTATCTCATCTATTTGGGAAACGCTTTTTAACTGATAAATTGAGTCAAATAATGACCAAAATTGAAGTGTGTTGGTTAGAGACGTTGAAAAAAAAAATTAAAAGTCTTGTCCACCTTTCTAAAATTTGGTACTTAAATTTGCCCAATCTTAAACCCACAATACGAGGTTTAAGGTTCAATATAGACATGCGCAGGAGGTTGTATATAACTTATACTTTGTACTTGTAGATGCAGGTTTGAATTTTCTTCTCATCAATATTTTATGGCGTCAGTCTGCAGTATGAACACAGTGACATGTCCTGACAGCCGCTGGGGATATTTTTGGACCCTGGCCAGTTTTCTTAAGTGACACACTTATTAAAGATAGCCCACTTAATGTTGTCAACCAGTGCAATAATACCGGTGATAAGGGGAAACAAAGTCTGCACTCTTTTATGTCATCTATTTGGACCCATAATACATGTCATTCTATATGGTTCAAGGTCCTATATAGACATGCGCAGGAGATTGTTAAAAACTAAATACTAGTTCTTGCAGATCTGTACGTTATCTCGGTTTGCGCCATCTTTGTGATGCGGCCAAGGAAATAATTTACTGTTTAATATCTTAGAAGAAATGACAGAGACTTATTTAGACTGCAGTATCCTGTCGGAATACCGGGGTAGCATATGCTTACAGTCGAGAGTACCGTCCCGAAAAAAAAAAAAAGAAAAAGACGACATGCAACGCAACTGAATCATGGACTACTATGTTCATTTTACTTGCACCTTGTAAGTTGTGGTTAGTAAGGCATTTTGGTTTCAGAAATGCACAAAAACAAATACTTAAGTTGTCACTGAAATGGTCTGGTGAAAAGGAAAGAGGATACATTGAATTGGATAACAATTTATATGGACCTTTTTAAAAGCCCCTGCCTTCCCCTCGCTGTCCTCAGACCAAATCAGCAATAGACGGAGGAGATGGTAAGTACGGTAGTTTGCCGTTTCAAGAGTAAGTATGGGGTGGTTCAAAAGAGGTAAAATCTACCAAGCAGATAGTGCATAGTTTTGTCATATTTATTCTAAACCTTTTTTGTTCACATAAAGGCACTTTATGGTACTTTATTTAATTTAAAAGTAAAAAAGACTCAAAATATACTGCATCCCCATAATCTGATATCTGTTACTAAATTGTCAACTGGTTTTGCTATAATACCAGAGACCCTTGTAGAGGACCCCGTAGTACGCCTTCCTTCAGTGTGAATTATTTCATTTCAAAAGGAAACATCACTAGTGGGAATGAAAACAAAGCCCTATCGAAAATACTGCAAATAGGTTGTAATTTGTAATTATTGCATGATGTATAATCAAGTTCACCAAAAAGGAAATGTATAAAAAGTTTTTTTGTATTTTTATAAAAATGTTTTAAATTTATAAAATAAAATTGGATGTTTTCAACACAATGTAATTTGTTTTTTCCTTATTTTATTAATACTCTTCTTTGATTTATATTTTCGTTAAACTGTAATTGGATACTTACCGTTGATCAGGCGGATCCAGGATTATTTGAAAGGGGGGTGGGGGGTGGATGCAAAGCCTACCCTCATCCCCCTTGGCATGGGGCCCGGGGCCCGCTACAGTGTCCCAAAACATTTTGGCATTTTAGAGGACGGACGGTGCCATTTGGTACAGCTTAGAAGTATGATTCAGCTAGTCAAAATTCTAATTTTAAGAGGGGACAATTGGTGGATTTTTTTAGAAATCGAGGGGGGGGGGGGCAGGACCCCCCTGACCCCCACTCTTAATCCGCCACTGGTTGATGTAGACAATATGTTGTGCGATCTCTTTGGTACCGATTCCTGTCAACAATCAAAATTTTCTCTCCTGTATTCCCTACCACATCGAGCCATTCTGCTTTAAACAGTAAGACTGTATGTGAACGAAAGCGCAGTTTTGGGCTCTTTTATATTCTATTCTTACTTTGATGTTTTGGGTTTTCGTAAACATGGGGAAAAGCCGCAAATTTCCTGCATCTAGAGGAAAGATTTCGAAAAATGTGAAAAGCATATCGAATAAACCGTCAATTTTCACCTATTCCTTACATCTGAGCTTATAAAATTACTTAATGTGCCTGGGAAATCAATAGACTAGCACCCTTGTCAAACGACATTCGTTTCCGCCGCATGGTATGGGTGGTATCTGTTAATTTTTTAAAATTGGTATCTGTGGTAAAATAAACATAGATTAGGACTAATTTCTGTGTGTGTGTGTGTGTGGGGGGGGGGGGGGGGCTTTCTGATAAAACACAATATTGTTGTAATCTGTGGGGACCTGTGTACATTGTATTTGCTTTTTTAATATTTTGATAACTATTTTAAAAAAAGGATATGTGTATTAGCTCTAGAAGTTATATTTTCGGTTAATGGGCCCTTACTTGAATTCAGTAATTTGATAAATTAAACAAAGTTTTAGGCTAATATGATGCTTGGTTAAGAATATGTAATATGTGAAGGAGATATAATTAGTAAAGAAGATGATAATTTCTTGAGCTCTGAAAAAAGGGATCTGTAACGACTACCAAAAGGTAAAAAAGTAGCATAAAGCAGCATAAAGTAAATATGTAAAAATATATATTGCTATAATCATTTGGATTCTAAAATCAACCTTGACATTTATAGCAAAATTGGGACCTACACCGAGGAGATAACATGTACCTACACTTCATATTCATGTAGGTACATGTTATCTCGAGGATATAATCGACCCGTTCAAAGTTTAGCTTATTGTTATTTGTCTTGGAAGAAATGACACAGAATTGTTTGTAAAACTGCAGTCCTGTTGAAATAGCACATGCTTACAGGCGAGAGTACCGTCCCTGCATGGGAAGCAACTGAAACATGGATGGCTATCTTGATTTCATTTGCACACTATTGGTTGTCGTAAGTACGTCATTTTGTTTAAAAATGCACTAAAAAGCACTTACTTAAGCTGTCAGAAATCAGTAAAATGGATTAATGAAAAAGGCAGCGACACGCAGATTCTCATTAACAACTTGAAAAATAAGAGAAAGACGTTATCTTGTCCTCAACAAACCTTCCACTGGGAAGGAATGATCCTATCCGGATTATCTGACAGTTATCTAGTGAGACTCCCCGCGGGGATAGATCGATCTAAAAGCTCTGGGAATACAGCCTTAGGGCGCATTCCCCAGACTACAGGGAGTCAGGTCGATCTAGGTGGATCGATCTAATCTCTGGGCATGGGGTCTTAGTCTGGGTTCCCATGCCTAGATCGATCCATCTGGATCGGTCTAACTCCTTGGGGAGTCTCACTAAATTGCTATCCGAATCAGGTAGGGGTAAAGATAATTACCCCGTGACAGCTTTAGGCCTACTAAAAACCAGTTTCTACAGTTGTAATCTCTTCCTTACTTCATAGTTTGACACGCTCATATCCCAAAAGTCAGACAGTTGTCTGTAAATCACATAAATCTAACTACCAACTTAGAACTACTTGGCAATATTTTAGGTGCAGGTATGCGTTGCATTAATTAGCCAGCCGGTCTGTGACGAATTTATCGAATTCAAACAAAGTGTTGGTGAAAACGCCTGGAAATGTGTCCCCTGCACCAGATGTGCTCCAGGTAATGGGACCCTTGTCGAGTGTTCTGGCTTCAATGACACGGTTTGTACGCCTTGTGAAGATGGGAAAACATTTTCCTACGACTACGTTGATTCACGCGACTGTCTCCCATGCAGCGCGTGTTACGAAAACAGCGTGATTCTGAAGCCTTGTGACGTATATCATGACGTCGAATGTGGTAGTTGCAAAAAAGGTAAATTTTTCTAAAACCTATGAAGCTGTTCCCTATGTCACATAATTATCGGCCCATGTGTCATGCCAAATAAACGCGTGTGCAAAAATAGGCGATTAACGAAAACAATAATAAAAAAAATCGGAATTTGTCCAGGACGGTTTTATTTCAAAACATATTTAAATAATATATGAATTAAGAAATATAACCGTAAAAGGATAGAAACAAACGAAGGATTCACACAGACATGAGAATGATTTAAATGTAATCGTCGCGAAATACGCGGTCGCGTAAAAACCCATTTCAACACTGAAAAAATGCATATCTTTTGAGGCGTCAAATTTCTCGAGTTTGCTTTTTAAATTCTAAATGATTTTTTGACGCCCGCTTTGGTAAAAAAATGTGAACGATATCTTATATTTGGTAGTTATCGTTAGAACACATTTCTGAGACGTATTTATTTTTGCAACGTTCATGTTTTGACAATTTTTTTGGCAATATTATGATAGACTTAATGATATCTTAACAGCGTCACTGCTTAAAAAAATATGTCGTAATGATAAAACTGCTTTTATTTCTATTTAATGGGTGGAAAATTCAACTAATACAATGACCTTTAAAAAAAATCATCGATCTTTTGTCATATTTCTGATAAATGCTCTAGGGAAAATGTATGGTTTGCCTGACGTAATAACTCAAGTCGCAGGGTTTGATATGGAGAAACTACTGATATAAATCAAGAGGGAAATTAAATGTAATTTATATTACCACTTTTACAGGGTATTATTTCAGCGCCGAATTGGGCATTTGTGTGAGGAATTCCTCCATTCGGCATACCGCTGTAAAGACCGTGGTTAAAGCATTCATCAGGCAACCAAAATCTCAAGTATCGGGTTTTATCAATGAGACAAGCAAGCCAAAATCTGAATCTTCGGGTTTGATCTCTAATGCTGTAATCGACAAGCCAGAAGCAAAGGACGTCAAGGTGAACGAACGTGCCCCACACGTGGTAACAATTGACTCTCCCAATAGGATAGAGATCGTAACACTCATTATGGTGTGTCTTTACCCTATTATGTTGTTTGTTCTTACTATTAAAAACAAGCTATCTAAGAAAGAAACTTTAAATTTCGCAACTTGCATTGCATAGATATTTTAAAAAGTTGACAATTTTTCAATGTCGTATGTTATTTATATTATTTATTATAATTATTATTTCCAAACTTGCAACCCGAGGGTTGGATAATTACAATAATTGTATCACAGTCGGATAAAACCATTAGTAAGTAAGAACAAAAGAATATTAAAAGACATATGTAAGCAAATTTAAAACAAAATGTCTAAAATGCAAGGTTAAGAAAAAGAAATAAAAGTCTATCAGATAATTCTGAAACTTGTATATGGCACTTGTTAAAAAGTCACTCATTGATCGTTTGGTTTTAATTTTAGGTCTTCTAAAAGTTTCCTGTTCCCTCAGTGAATATTTGGCATTTTGTTTTGGTTGCAAAAGATAATGCAGTCTATGACCCGGTTCATTTGATATACTAATAAACAATTTTTTGCATGCATTGATCCGTCTTTCACCCAGTAGTTCAAGTTTACTATGTTCACAAGCAGCGTCATATTCAAGTTCAGGATAAATTATCTTAAGAGCTCTTTCTTGACACTTTTCTACTAAGGCAGTCAATTCATTTGTTAACCCAAAGTGCCAGACAGGGGCAGCATATTCCAAAACTGGCCTTATGACCGTCTGGTAATAAGTTACAAGGTCATCAGTTGTAAGGCCTGCACGCTTAAGGTGCTTAAAGCAATAATAACTCTTCGTTTCGGCCAAAAAATGAATTTTCCTGGAGTAAACAACAATTTTCCCATACTTACCAATGGTTAATGAATCCATTTTTACATTCAAAGGTAGTCCCTGGTTTTTTTCTAAAAAGTTTGGTTTTTTGTTAAAATCTCTTAAGAGATTTTAACAGAGTATAGACATCAATGGAGGTCACGTGGTCTAAAGACAAGTTTAGATATCAGAATAAAAGCTATAACTGCTGTTTTTGTGGTAAAACAGAATATATTATATTTCTATGAATTATTCACAAGGTTTTTATTGTGAAATATAGATCTCATACGAAGAGTTATTATCCCTTTAAGGAAATAAATCCTTTTGATTGCTTTTTTAGTGATTTTGTCTACATGTACCTTCCATGTGAGGTCATTAGAGATATACACTCCAAGTAATTGCTCCAATGTTTCCATTAAAATAAGGGAAATTGTCATTTTTGTGTGGAATTATTGTATCATATGACATTCTACATAAAGTGTCTCGTAGATAATGAAAGATGGTTTTAATGACTTATATTTATTAATTACAGCACTTTTTATATTCTTGTATACATATATTAATTTTTTGAATATATAAAAAAACTGAACTTAGTAGCCTTCTTAGAAGAAGTGACAGGCATCATCCACGTTCGCCCCAGTCTCTGAAGAGAACCTCTGATGATGATGACAGCACAGATATTATTGTTACTGAGATCCAACAACCACGATTTTCCGATTTTCTAGGAAAATGTCATTGAAATTTATCCAAATAAACGTCTATACATCGTCGTCAACATTGGTTCGCAGTAGTTGCAAACAGACGGATTGCACCGCTTTACAGTAATACTTTTTAAGTACCAGGTGTAATGTTATCTTAAAAAAGAGAAATAAAAACAAATGACCTGTATTCCGCCAAACTCCTCCGCGACGGTTGTTGTTGTTTTATAATATATGTACATGTAACTTGCTTTCAATTTGAATGATTTTTTTATTAGCAATACATGGATTTTTACTTACTGCTGAACAAAATGTGCTTTCCGTTATCCCACCCTTCCCCTTCCCAACTGCTTTATATATATAATCTATACCGTGACGAGAAACGACATAAAGAAAAAACGACGAGTCAGTTTAAAGCCACAAAACTTGCATTTATTGTCGAAAATAAGTTAAGCTACAGCAAATTCTCTAGACAAATCTGTCAGCTGTTAACATGAGCGTAGATGGATTAGGTTTTCTTCACAGCCTGGTCACGGTTTGCAGAGTCGTTTCTAAGGACCAATGGATTTTGTGGCGCATGTCAATATGGCTAAAATAAAAAAGAGTACACGAAAATTGTAAAATAATAATGAAATCAAAACATCTTGGGGTGATATTGGCAATGAAGATACATAAAAAAACGATTCATGAATAATTGTAAATAGTTGTCCGTGGCATATTCTGACTACACGAACCAATATAACGCCCCTACAAAAACATTTTTGTTATTTGTAATTCCTACTCTCCTCTGTAATCATAAGATGAATTTTCACTGACAACGCACGATCTGTTGATGATTATTAAGTATTGTGTTTCCGACTTTCATACAACATAAGGAACGAAAAAATAATGAACAAGGGAAAAGAAAAGCAGGTACATTGTAGATATGAATGATAAATAACAAAGAATAGATAAATAGACTGGAAATTAAATATAAATATTTTAAAATAGTATTAAGTAATGCAAGTGAAATAAATCAATGATAAATTTTAATTTAAAATATTAAAATAGATTAATGCAAAATGAATTAATCAATAATAAATAAATTAAGTTAGGTTCCATACATTATTTTGAACGAATGATAAATAATAAGTTGACCTTGGGCATAGATCAAAAATATATAAAAAATATGCACAACCGTTTTGTGGATTGTTTGCACCAATAATGCTTTTTAAGCTTTGTGCAGAATGATTTAAATGGACAGCTTAATTCTTATCTCAGGAAGTGCATACTTCATGCCCCCCCCCCCAAATCCCCGGTAACCCCCTGATCCTTGTATACCCACAGCTGAGCAAGTGCTCTGTACACCGACCAAAGGGATCAAAGCGGGATTACAAAAATTATCGTGTCATTTGCATTAAAAAAATTTACTTTATGGATCAAATTCTGTACCTCCTTTTGTTGAAACATCTTTTAAATAATTATCACCATGACACTATTTTTCCCGGATCTTCATTCTTGCAAAAGTGAAAAATCAATTAAAAAAGCACTACCATAAAACAACTTACCTTTCTCCGTTGTAAAAATGTTTATAACCGGTGGAATATCTATCCACGGTATCCACCATATCCTTTACCGTATCCACCATATCTACCGCCGTATCCACCATATCCTCTGCTGTATCCACCATATCCTCTGCTGTATCCACCATATCCACCATATCTACCGCCGTATCCACCTCTGTAGCCACCACGATATCCACCGTATCCACCACTGTAGCCACCATAACCGTACCTTCCAGAGCCGTAGCGTCTGCCGTATCCCATGCCCATGGTCATGGCAACGCAGACGGCAAGAAGAGCTAACAAAAATACGGCCTTCATGGTCAAAGTTGACAGCGCGACTTTCTCTCTCACTGGAGTGGATCTGGGAGGTTTGCCAAACAAAGGCTGGAGTGGATAGTGAGGCAGTGGCACATGTAAGTCTTTTATAACAGAGCAGGTTGCGTGACTCGATGGCACATTTTTTCTAATGATTGGGCGGGAATCCATTCAGAAACAATTGTTGTGCTTTGATATATCTAGGAAAAGAAGAGATATGATTATATGCGTCCTGCATGTGACTTGTATTAATTGCATAATTTTTTCATTTTGTTAATGCCAACCATGAATGACTTTTGAAAATGCAACTAAGATAAAAAAAAAATGAGGACCAGAGGCCCAAGAGGAAAAGAGACATTTGCAGTTTCATGTTTACTTTAATGCGTTATCCACATGGTGTTGACTTCAGTAGTAATGCACATACAGATATGACAATGGTGTTCAGGGTGCTGTGATCTGCTGTATATGGAGATCTTCACTTATCCCATCACTTATCCCACCCCTTTTAATTACCTCTGCATCGCTCTTATTTAAACGCCAACGACCCATTTTATTCATTTTTGGTCACAGAGAACGACGCTCATCTTGAAATTGACAACTAATTACTTATTTCATTTAAACGGAAATCTCACTCCATTAGGAAGGGGTGACTTAAAGATAACTAGAGGTTTCATCGTGACGACGCACTTGCTCACAATTCTCGTCTGGTGAATGATTTNCTGTGTTGTCTTCTCGATGTTTAGTGCAATTGCTGTTTCGCACTGTTGGAGGTCTTTTTCAGAAGGGTGTGTTTTGTGTTGCGTATCTTAAGGTGCACTTTTGATACATGCTTGAGTTGATGATATATTTAAACATCTACGGCTAATGGCACATTTTAATGTTAAAACAGAAACAAGAACAACAACAGTAAAATCAACAATTGTCCTGTCTGTATTTTTCTTTTTTTTTCCGACCTGCAAAATATTGGGTATTTTTGTTCCAGTTCTCTCACCATCTTTCCTTTATGTTCAGACGGCCTGTCTCGACTAACGGACAAAAAGAAGAGTTTCGGGCTATTCAGTTCTTCAAACCGAAAGTTGGACTCTTAAACCATTGTTTTTTTAAGTACTGCATGTTGAAAACCATAAGGATAAACAGATGTTAGCCTTCACCGACGGTAACTATCGAAATTCAGACCTGCATGCAGGGTTTAAAAAGGCTAATGGACGGTAATCCATGTCGTAATTATTATGTTCGCGTTATCAGTCCGCTCGTGTATGGTACTATCGACTCACCTTTGTGACAATTTTCTACGGAGGTGACTCGTTAAAGCTAAAGAAAATTGGACATGGCACGACATCACTTGATAATCACCTCCATAACAGATAGTAAATCCTGCTAACGGGTATTGTCTTCCATGACATTTTTGTAATGTATTTTTTTACCAATCATGCGTAAACAGCACGCGAGTTTTTGAAAAAGGTTTGGAAGTACCAGTAATAATGATGATTTTAAACTATGTATCAAGCATGAATGGCCATTTATTGTGCACTCATTAAAAAGATGACGTTGTTTTTAGACCAAAGGTTCCATGTCAAAGACAATGAACAATGTAAAATGACTCTTAAGATATGGGCGTTTTCTTCTAAGCCCCCCATAATATCAAGAATTTTATGTCTTAAAACAACTGAGACCCTCATTTTGTCAAGTGATCAAATGTTCAATGCAAATATAGTCTTTAAATGATTATTAATAACTGGCGTTATCATGCAATGGCCAATCAACTAACAATTGACAATTGTATGTTGAATTCAATTATGAAAAATACGGAAATGGGCCTATTTAAAAATCTCACTAACAGTATTCGGAAAAGCCGCTTGCAGAGCCGCATTTTGTAACCACACGCATTTTCCAACCGGTTGGAAAATGCAGCTACGTTCGATTTGGTAAAACAAAATGTGAACGATATATTTGATAGTTATCGTTAGAATACATTTCTGACGTATTTATTTTGGCAACGTTCGTGTTTTGACAGGGCACATGTCCTTGGCAACATTATGATAGACCTAATGATATCTTATCAGCGTCCCTGCTAAAATATGTCGTAAATGATAAAACTGCTTTTATTTCTAATTAATGGATGGAAAATTCAACTTATGCAATGGCCTTGTAACTGCCTGCGTTTTTTATTATTTATTCTCTTTTTGAGTTTGTCCTTTGTTGAGTAATTATTCACGCGAAGTGCATTTTCCGTTCTTTCTCTTTTGCCCTCCTTTGTTTTCTCTCTCTATCTCTCTCTACCAAT